GCTCTGTTGGGGCCGTCCTGGGCCGTCCATGGGGCCTGATGGGCCGTGCGGAGGACACCCTTGGAATCCGCTGTCCTTGTTGGGAGTTTCCGGCACGTGTCGTCGACATTCGTTTAGGTCTTCAGCAGAAGGAGGAGGAGGAGGAGGAGGGGGAGGAGGAGGAGGAGGAGGAGGAGGGGGAGGAGGGGGAGGAGGAGGAGGAGGATGTACGTGGAAGAGGAGGAACGTGGGATGAGTAGGACAGACCAGGGGGGAGGGGGAGGACGAGGAATGATACCGAATGTGGAAGACTGGGGTGGAGCCGTCGATCATCGCCGCTGACGTGGTCTGTCGCGCGTGCGCCGCCCCCTGGGGCCACGGGGGGTGGGGGCGAGGAGGAGCAGGACGAGGAAGAGGATAACGAAAACAAGGCTGATGATGACGATTATGCTGATGATGAGGAGGGTGAGGATAAGGAAGAAGAGGAGTTGCATGATTATGAGGATTTGGGCGGACGAGGAGCCGATGAGGATGATGAGGACCATGATGATCCCTACAGGGATCCTGTAGGGTCCCTGTAGGGATCCATAGTGATCCTCTAGGGCCCCTGTAGGGATCTAGAGGGATCCCATAGGGCCCCTCTATTTACAAAAAGCTATCCCATAGGGTCCCTGTAGAGGTCTAGAGGCATCCTATTGGGTCCCTGTAGAGATCCAGAGGGACCCCTATAGGGTCCTTATAGGGATCTACAGCGATCCCATAATGTCCCTGAAGGGGCCCACAGGGATCACATAGGGTCCCTGTAGGGATTTAGAGGGACCCCATGGGGACCTTGTAGGGAACCCCAGGGATCCCATAGGGTCCTTATAGGGATCTACAGCGATCACACAAGATCCCTGTAGGGATCCAGAGATCCCATAGGGTCCCTGTATGGGCCCACAGGGATCCCACATGGTCTCTGTAGGGATCCACATGGATCCCATAGGGTCCCTGTAGGGGTCGACAGGGATCCTATACGGTCCGCGTACGGACCCACAGGGATCCCATAGGGTCCGTGTGGGGATCCACAGGGATCCTATCCATAGGGATGCTCTAGGATCCCTATAGGAATCCATAGGGATCCTCTAGGCCCGTTGTAGGGACCCATAGGCATCCTATAGGGCCCCTGTAGGGATCGATAGGGATCCCCTCGTATCCCTGCAGGGATCCATGGGGGTCCTCTAGGATGCAGGGATCCATAAGGATCCTTTCGTATCCCTGTAAGGATCCATAGGGATCCCCTGGGATCGCTGTAGGGGTCCATAGGGATCCTCTAGGATTCCTGTAGCGGTCCACAGGGATCCTCTAGGATGCTTGTAGGGATCCATTGGGATCCTCCGTAGGATCCCTGTAGGGGTCCACAGGGATCCTCCAGGATCCTTGTAGGGATCCACAGGGATCCTCTAGGATCCCTGTAGGGATCCATAGGGATCCCCTTGGATCCCTGTAGGGGTCCATTGGGATCCTCCAGGATCCCTGTAGGGGTCCACAGGGATCCTCCAGGATCCCAATAGGGATCCATTGGGATCCTCCAGGATCCTTGTAGGGATCCATTGGGATCCTCCAGGATTCTTGAAGGGATCCATACACAGATCCTCTAGGATTCTTGTAGGGATCCATACAGATCCTCTAGGATGCTTGTAGGGATCCACAGGGATCCTCTAGGATGCTTGTAGGGATCCACAGGGATCCTCTAGGATGCTTGTAGGGAGCCACAGGGATCCTCTAGGATGCTTGTAGGGATCCACAGGGATCCTCTAGGATGCTTGTAGGGATCCACAGGGATCCTCTAGGATGCTTGTAGGGATCCACAGGGATCCTCTAGGATGCTTGTAGGGATCCACAGGGATCCTCTAGGATGCTTGTAGGGATCCACAGGGATCCTCTAGGATGCTTGTAGGGATCCACAGGGATCCTCTAGGATGCTTGTAGGGATCCACAGGGATCCTCTAGGATGCTTGTAGGGATCCACAGGGATCCTCTCAGATCCCTGTAGGGTCCTTGTAGGGATCCAGAGGGATTCTATAGGGTCCCTGTAGGGATCCACAGGGATTCTATAGAGGGTCCCTGTAGGGATCCACAGGGAGTCTAGAGGGTCCCTGTAGGGATCCACAGGGAGTCTATAGAGTCCCTGGAGGGATCACAGGGATTCTATAGAGTCCCTGGAGGGATCCACAGGTCCTGGAGGGATTCTATAGAGTCCCTGGAGGGATCCACAGGGAGTCTATAGAGTCCCTGGAGGATCCACAGGGATTCTATAGAGTCCCTGGAGGGAGTCTATAGAGTCCCTGGAGGGATCCAGGGATTCTATAGAGTCCCTGGATTCTATAGAGTCCCTGGAGGGATCCACAGGGATTCTATAGAGTCCCTGGAGGGATCCACAGGGATTCTATAGAGTCCCTGGAGGGATCCACAGGGATTCTATAGAGTCCCTGGAGGGATCCACAGGGAGTCTATAGAGTCCCTGGAGGGATCCACAGGGATCTATAGAGTCCCTGGAGGGATCCACAGGGATTCTATAGAGTCCCTGGAGGGAGTCTATAGAGTCCCTGGAGGGATCCACAGGGATTCTATAGAGTCCCTGGAGGGAGTCTATAGAGTCCCTGGAGGGATCCACAGGGATTCTATAGAGTCCCTGGAGGGATCCACAGGGATTCTATAGAGTCCCTGGAGGGATCCACAGGGATTCTATAGGGATCCACAGGAGTCCCTGGAGGGATCCACAGGGATTCTATAGAGTCCCTGGAGGGATCCACAGGGATTCTATAGAGTCCCTGGAGGGATCCACAGGGATTCTATAGAGTCCCTGGAGGGATCCACAGGGATTCTATAGAGTCCCTGGAGGGATCCACAGGGATTCTATAGAGTCCCTGGAGGGATCCACAGGGATTCTATAGAGTCCCTGGAGGGATCCACAGGGATTCTATAGAGTCCCTGGAGGGATCCAAAGACTCCTAGAGGGTCCCGAACGGATGCCGATGGGAATCCGTAGGGAATGTGCAGGATTCATACAGGATTCATACAGAATTCATACAGAATTCATACAGAATTCGTTGTGTTGTGTTGTGTTGTTCCCCCCCCCCCCCTCCGACTCACCGGGGGGGCGGGACCGGCCTCCTCCACTGTGGCGGACGCGGGAAGTGAAGCCCCGGACCCCGGGGGGGCCATGCTGGCCTGTACCTTGTTGTTGTTGATGATGATGATGATGATAATGATGATGATGATGGAGATCATGTGGAAGTACCAGTGGACATCGACATGCACCCAGCACCGCCGGCACCACTTCAACAGCAACGATTTCCAGAAACACCACCAGCAGTTCCGCCACCAGGCGACGCACTGCCGCAATCTCGCAAGCGAAAGCACGAAGGTGGCGACGAAGACGACCGAACACACAAGTTATCGCACACTACCACACGAAGACAACAAGAGGACACCCAGCAGCTCGGCACCAGCAGCCAAGCATCAACGCACAGATCCTGCTGAAGAACGAGATGAAGGGCCTGATCTTGATCAACCACCATATCAACCACCAGTACCGAGCACCAGCAGCAGCATCAACGGCAGCACCTCCGACACAGACAGCGGACCAGCACAGTTCAGACACCGACAGCAGCATCTGCACCGAGGACCTTTATTGCGACAAGAACGGGAATCCGATTACGCTACCAATTACGATGGAGGAGTTCAAGGCTTACGTCACTGGGCGACGGCCAGAAGCCATGCTCAAGGCAACGAACAAGCAGGACGATTTCGATCAGGCGGACTTAGCATTCCGAGCCACCGGTACAGAAGCCAGTACGCGACTTGGTCTATCACGCAGAAGACATGGATATCAGTTTCACCAGGGAAGAAAAAGTAACAGATTTAGCACTACCTGGGTATATGGCTAATTCGGAGGGTCGTACCACGCAAACAGTATCTGGCGGTTATGATCTTGTTCACTTTCTGTCCAAGGCGAAGTTGAACAAGCAGGTCACCAAGCGGGATCTACAGCCTTCGTGCAGATGATCAGCGTCAGCATCGCGATCAGGTCGTCAATATCAGGAAGCGCTAGCTGTAGCAGTGACTTGAGCTGGAGAGTGTTGGCACCATGCTTAAGCGTGGCGCGACGAAGTTCGTGGGCGGCACTTGGTTTTTCAAGTGGAAGTTCATGGTCATTTATGGCAAGGAGCACCGCGACGTCAATCGTAGATGGACCTTGAGAGGTCTGCAGGATCGGCATCCCTAGGTGGGGGCATTCAGTGGAACGGCAGCCAGATTCAGCACTCGAGTGGAGCACAGCCGTGCTTGTCAAAATCATTTCGGCCTTTGGGCTTTAGATGTCCCAAGAGTTTTCCTCGCGGATCTAATTTTTGACGAGATCAACCAGATGGTTGCCGACGGTCTTATTCGGCAGGTACAGCTCATTGTGGATTTCAGGACGGCATCGGCTTTGAGAACATTGAAAGGTAGGGAAGGTTTTGATCATGAGAAGCACTGTCCACGAATATTACGGCCGATTTGGGGCTGGAGAAACGCACCGAGACTGTTTGCGTTGAAGTTGGCGCAAGTGATGAGCGTTACCAAGTGCATCTCCAGCAATGCCGACAACATGTTGTACATGAAGCATGACAACCAGGGCGAATGCATTTTATTGGTCTGTGGTCATTGACGACGTGGAAGAATCATCGGCCACGGGGGCGCGCGAAGATCTTCGGGCAGCAATCGAGCAGGCATTTGGCAAGTGCAGTAGGCATCTCAACGTGTTCACCTACCTTGGCGTGGAGCACGAGCAGTCAGAGGACAAGGAGTCAGTGTGCACGCGCCAGCATAACTGCATCAATGGGCTTCGACTTATACCACTGCCAGCGCATTCTTCGCATCGGCCAGACGACGATCTAAGCGTGGAGTTGCACGCGTTGCCGAGAAGTCTTCTTGGGGCATTATCGTGGGTAACTCAGTCGAGGCCAGAGATTCAAGTGCCCGTCGGACTTTGCCAGGGGAGTGCCGAGCAGCTGAAGCACAAGCACGCGCAGTTGTTGAATTTGAGCCTCAAGCGGACTCAGCGGCATCATTCTGGCATTTGCGCGTTTACGTTCCAGGGCACGACAGCGCTGTATTGTATCGTGGGTTCATTTTTTCGAACAGATGAGGCAGATTGCCTCGCGCTTCGAGCAGATATCATGGTCTTTGTCAGCGCGCAATTGATAGGTTTGGCGGTTAAGTTTCACATGGTCGTGACCGCTAGCAAGAAGCAGTCTAGAGTGAGCCGGAACGCGTTCGGCGCAGAGGCCGGAGCAGTCGGTGATGCAGCTTCTGTGTGCATCATCGTGCTAGCAGGACTACTGCGCGAAATAGATGTGGGACCTTGTTCTGGTGCGACGTTGGCAAGGTGTGTTCAGCACGGCGGTTTCAGTAGAAAGATCATTACGTTCACGGACAGCGAGAGTCTTTTCGGGGCGTGTTCCGCGACGGAGGTTCAGTTGCCAACGGAGCGACATCTAGCCTATGCTGTGATGAAGGTACGCGAGTGGCTGGATCGGAAAGTCCTCACGGAGTTGGTATGGACTGACGCGAGAGTTTTGTGTGGCGGTCGATCCAAGGGCAGTTTTCACGGTTTGACGTCATGAACGCGCTCAACCAATGGAGTTGGGCGTTGCGGCGCAATCCCAAGCGATGGAGCGCGAAGAGGTCAGACAGGACAGGGGGGGGGGGACATTCAGGAGATAGATGACATTCAGAGTGTCCAAGCTTCACAATTCATGTGCATTTTTGAGACGTTTGGTACCAGGTGGAACGATTTCGCCTTAACGTATGCGTTCGGGACTGACATGGAGCACGTTGCCGACATAGTGTACGTGACGCTGCGCATCATGACTGAAGGCTTGTCTGCTTGGTTTTTGTGGTTGTTGTTATTGCCTGTGCGGTCGCTGTTATCTTGCTATCACTTAGCTAGCGAATTTTGTCTCGGTTATCCCTCTCCAGCCGTCGTGTGCAATCAATGGGCGAATTCAAAGCTGGATCACGTGCCAGTCTTACGCCATCATCAGAGTAAATTGTTACCTGTGTCTCTCGGGGCCCTCTCGGAGCCCGTCTGTCTTTGGGCTCGCAATTCCACCTGCGTGGCCACGTTCCGTCCTGCCTCCTATGCGTCGACATCCCACCCCAGACGGGCCAGTTCCTATCGGGGCGTCTTGGGGCCCTGCATGCGTTGATGTACGTGCCGTAACATTGCGTTATGGCTCGCGGCGCGTCATGGCTGCGGGTCCGAGCGCGCGCTGAGAAAAGGGGTTCTTCCCTGATCCCATCGCTGCCGTCGCCAGGGGGGGGGGGGGGGCCATCTTGCGGCTGCGTGCCACTGCGCGCTTCCTGCCCCCCCCGCTCTGCCCCCTTCGCCCTCCGCCATCCGCTTTTTTTATCTTCGCTTCCTCGGCTCTGCTGAGTGTTGCAGAAGGCGCGAGCCGCAGCAAGCGCGACGCGAACCCGCATCTCGCCAAGCGACAGGGGGCCGAAGGCGGCGTCGGCGACCGCGGCAGGACCCCCCCCGAACAGGCCAGCCGCTCCGGTCCGTTCAGCGCAGCGGGACAGGGGTAGCTCCGCACTGGCCCGCAAGACACTGATGACCACGGCGACGAGGGCACGGGCGCGCCAGGGCTAGCGCGAAGGTTCGAAGCTCTTCGCGCTTCGCGGTCTGGGCGATGTCAGAGCGAGAGGGAGGGGCGGGCGTGGGGGGGCGGCGCGAGCACGCGAAGGCATTCGCGCGCTGGCCTAGGCGCAGAGGGGGGAACGACTGACGAGACGACAGGGGAGAGGACACCTGGCGCGCGGAAAAGGACTCGGCGCGTCGCGTCGCCAGCGATCTTCGTGCGTGCTTTTCGCGTGGTGGTCGCGCACGGCGCCGCGCAGCTTCCTCGCATGACTGGGTGGCGCTCGCGCGCGCGCGAGGGGGCTCGCGCGCCGCGTGGGCGACGGCCTCGGAAGCTCCCTTCCCGGCTTTCTGCCGGGTTCGGCCGACGTGCGAGGCGGCTCGTTTCAGTGGCGCCAGAGGCGTCTCGGCGAGGCGTTTCATCCCTTTTGTTTTTTCGGCAGAGTTGGACCTCGTTTGGTCTGGCCTCGAGGACAGCGGACTCCGCTGCCGAATGCTTATCGCCCGCCCAAGGATCACCGCAGGTCCAGAGTCGGCCAGTGCTCTTCGCGTTCCTCCTCCGCCCGCCTCCTCCTCCTCCTCCTCCTCCTCATCCTCCTCCCCCTCCTCCTCATCGTCCTTTTGTAGCCATATTGGCTCAAGCCGTTCCGGCGCAATCCCGTGCTTGCTGTCGCCGACGCTTCAGAAAGGCTGGGTGGCAGCGGACCTTGTGACGGCCATCCTAGCAGGCGGCGCCCTCGCAATGCCCGGCGCAGCGCGGTCGAGCTCGGGGCCGCCCAGGAGATCGCTGAGTCGTGGCGCGGCTCGCAGTGGCGTCCGCTGGTCTTTTCAGCATTGTGGTTGCAAGCGTAATGGATCTTGCAATCAGTATTGCAAGCGCTGCAAGAGGTGGTGGACTTCCCTTGTCGAAGGCAAGAGCGCCCGCACCAGTGACCCATCTGCTCTACGTCGTAACGCAGCTGGAGGCGTCGCAGGCCAGCGTGCTGCGCCAGCACCATGTGCTGCGCCAGCCCCATCGCGCCCAGGGCAGCCGCCCCCCCCCCCCCCCTGTGCAGACCTGGGACAGATGTGTAGCTATGTGAGAAGACGAGGAATAATGCCCTCTTGCAGCAGGGCCAGCAAGAGCTGGCCGCGCTTTCTTCGTCGACAGCCCCTCCCCAAGAGCGTGCTGGCGCCGCGCGCGCGGAGCTCGTTCGGCTCGGGTCCTGTTAAGCGCGCCTGTGGCCGACGCGTCGAGCGGCTGCGCCGCTTCTTCGGCCGCGGCGGGCGAGCAGGACAGCAAGTCGGCGGCGGAAGTTCGCGCGGAGGTTCGGCGGGCCGCCCAGCGCGGAGCTGCAGCCAATCGGCCCCAGCCGAAGCCGGCGCCCGCAGCCGGGCCGCCCCCGCCTAAGTCCAGGGCGCCAGGAGCGGCCGAGGCTAAGCCGTCGTCGGGGCGGCGCTCCCACTCGCCATTCAGTCCCCGTGACCCCCCCTTCTTGCCCTCTTTTGGGTGCCCCGCGGAACTCGTCAGCGCGTCAGGGGCGAGAAGGTTTTGATGTGGATGTGGATCGGGTGGGACTTCAAGTTGCCGCGGCGAACGCGCGGCGTGGCATTCCACCAGGCGGTTTTTGACCCCGACCTCGGACCATGTCGTGCTGTGTCATGGGCGCGCGCTGGTCAGCGCCGAGGAGATTCGGAAGGCTCTGGCTTGGTGCAATCGGAACGGGTGGGAAAGCGCACTTGGGACTTGGATTTTTGGGTTCTGGTGGGGGCCCGTCTTCAGGTGTTGCTGTGCCGGCCCGTTTTTGGCACGATGTCCATGTTCCTGATTTCGGGCCCGAAATCGCCGGGCACAGGTCCGCGGGGGTCCTGGTCCATATTCCCGGGCGGGCCAGTTTCCACATGGTTAGTGTGTGCCTCCCGGACGCTGTTGGCATTAATGAGGTCAACAGTCGCGTGCTCGCGTGTGTTGTGGCTCGGGCGCAGAGCCTGCCGACGCCGCATATCACTGGCGCTGATTTCAACATCGGACCTATATGTTGGCCGCGACTTGGATTCCAGTTCGGCTGGGGACCCAAATGCGTTTTCCCGATTTGGTTTCAGGTGCTTGCCGCTCGACGGCGGGCGTGAAGATGTGTGATTAATTTTTGGTTGGGGGGCGGTTGGCCCAGGCCATCGAGAGCGCGGAGATCATTGGCGACTCGGAGTTAGCGACGCATGGCCCCGTGCCCCCTACCCTCCACCCGCAGTTAGCTGACTCCATGGCTTTGGGCCCCCGCCGCCCTCCGCCGTTTCCCGCTGGCGCCCCGCGGCTTGGAGCTGGCGCCCCATGGGGGCGCGGGCCGCGCCCAGTTCCACTTGGGGTCGTTGCGGAGCAGGAATTTGCGGGTCTTTTTCAGGGCAGCCCCTCCATTGAAGGAAGTAGAGGCAATCGAGCCCAGTTGAGGTGGGTGGGCGTCGTCTGCGCAACTGGCCAGTATATGGATGGAGTTCCGGCCACCTCGCGTGAGGCGTCTAGGCCCAGGTGGTTGTGCAGCCGCTGCCGCCTCTGGCTCCATTTGCGCGCCCTCGGTTGCCGGGCCCCCAGCGGCGAGGATCGCCGTGCGGGGAGACGGCGCCAGGGGCACTTGAGCGAAGCTGCGGCCATCATTATTTCCCCGCCCAGGAGGTTGAGACCCCAGGGGGGCGATGCCTTTTCGCTCCTCCAGGGCTGCCAGGACCTTCGTACTGCCCCCCTAACATAGCGGATGTGGAGGGGGAGCCTCGGCATGCGTTGTATCTCGCGCCCCAGGCCCTGGCTGTCGGGGAGAGTGAGGCCCGCCAGGAAGACCGCGGGAAGTGGCTCGAATGGATCCGACACAACATCGAGAATGGTGCGCGCCACGCGCGCGGGGTCATCAGAGGTGCCCTTGGCTGGGCCCCCGCCGCCACTTTACTGCTAAAGGGGAAGTTGCGTCGGATCCTGGAGCTTGTCTAGCCGCTGAGCTAGATGAGATTGCAGGCATCTGGCATGCCAAGGACTCCGGACTGCGCGGAGGAGCGTGCTCCTGGCGCCGGCTTCGAGGTGCTTGGGCCGCTGCCGCCGATGTCGCCCGACGACGTCCGCCGCGCGGTTCGTTCCTTCCCTCGCGCGGCCGTCCAATCAGTGGACGGGTTCCACGTCCATAGTGTGCGGCGCCCCTCGGACTGGGGCCTGCTCGCGCTTTCGGCGTTGATCGTGGTTTTCGAAATTTTGGATTCTCGCTGGGCAGATGAGGACCATCCCGTTGGTCGTGCTTTCCATGCTCGAGGGGGGTCATCGCCCGCCTGGTCTTCTCGTCGCGATCTTCAGGCTGCGGGCCATGTCCCGACGTGACTTTGCAAGATGGTGGGGGCCGGGCCGCAGCGGGGATTTTTTTGCCGCTGGTGCCTCCGCGTCGGGCGTGGGCGCGGTTGGGAGACAATGCTCCAGCAGCGAAACCGCGGTCAGGACCCTGTCGTGCTATTGCTCGGTCCATTGGGACCTGATCAAGTTTTGCGTGTCTGTGTGCCTCGGCTTGCTGATGGAGTGTTGCCACCAACGCCAGTTCCCCATTCAGATTGCCAGGGTCCTCGGCGTGCCGATCATGCGGGTGGATGCCTATGTCGGGCCGCGTGGGCGGCCCTAAGTTCGCCTGGCGTGGCCCGGTCGTTGGCCGCGGTTTCGCCGCCACTTTCGCCGGGATCTTCGCTGGCGGCCCCAGACGGGCTTGCGTTTCCCAGTTCGGCGTCGTTGCGGGTGTGCGTCGGTGACTATTCTTTGTCTAGCTGCGGTTCCGCTCGCAGTGCAATCGGCGATCTCATTGAAAGTGCCTCTCAATTTCAGTTTGTCATCGAGGCCGATCTTGGTGGCCCCTTCAACTTCCAGCGCTGCGGCGGTAGCCTCCGCCTCGGACGTCGCGA